GATATATATATATATATATATATATATATATATATATATATATATATATATATATATATATATATATATATATATATATATATACACACACATATATATATGTGTATGTGTGTTTAATGTTCGACTTATTGTAGGTCACACATTATCTAGGTGGAGAAAACTATGTTTTTTGGGGTGGTCGAGAGGGTTATCACTCTCTTTTGAACACCGATATGGAACGAGAGCTCAATCACATGGTGAGACGGGTTGTCGGTTTTTAATATTCATTTTCCCTATTATATGAATATAAAAGTTAATGATAAATATTTCGTTACGGAGCTTCTTATAATATGTTCAAGTATTTGGCATTTTGTATTCGTGAAATTTGAAGCACTTATTGTGTGGCTGTCGTATTCTCGTAGGCAAGGTTTTTCGAAGCTGCAGTTGCTCATAAGAAGAAAATTGGGTTCAACGGTATTTTCTTTTCTTTGTATTTTTTATTTGTTAATTCAATAATGCTATTTTGTATATGTAATTATTTTTTCTTCGTATTTTTAATCCGTTTCGTTTTTATTTTTGTTCTATTGATAATCGACATTTAATTTTTCAGGAACATTGCTAATCGAACCTAAGCCCCAGGAGCCAACAAAGCACCAGTACGATTCCGTCAATTATTAATCAATCAATTAATTAATTTAATTCTCACTATGTGACATATTATCTCCATCATGCCAGGTACGACTGGGATGCTGCAACATCTGCTAACTTCCTCCGTAAATATGGATTAATAGGTAATTGTCGCACGATTCTTTAATTTCACATGTTTTTATTTTTATTTTTAATTTCCAATTAATTGTAAGAGGCAATTTTGATTTTAATCATTTTTTTCATCGTCTTTCGTACAGATGAATTCAAATTGAATATCGAGTGCAACCACGCAACTCTATCCGGTCACAGGTTTGTCATTTTTCCTCATTCAAATTATTAATTAATTCAATAAAATATTATACTTTATACCGTTATATTAATTAGGCTTTAACGAATTAATTCCACCCTGTAGCTGCCATCACGAAATCGAGACTGCAAGAATTAATGGTCTATTGGGGAACATTGACGCAAATACCGGCGACCCTCAAATTGGTATTTTCAACCATAAATTATTTATTTTTTCAAAATTTCCTACTAAAGTCGAACATTTTTCACAATTTATTTTCGGCCCTGTTGCAGGTTGGGATACGGACCAGTTTATGATGGATGTAGGAGAGGCGACATTAGTTATGCTCTCCGTTATTAAAAATGTACGTTTCTTTAAATTTCAGAAAAAAAAAATTTAAAATTAAATTCATAAACCGAGGTACGTGTCTTATGCATTACAGGGAGGATTGGCTCCAGGTGGATTCAATTTTGACGCAAAACTGTAGGTTTTTCTTTTCATTTTTGGTGTCTTAATTTAATTTTACGAAACGTTATTTGTATATTTCAAATTATTCTGAAACGACTCAATAATTTAGCTCTATATTTATATGCATGACTTATGTCGGTATTTAATTAATAGGCGAAGAGAAAGCACAGATGTTGAAGACTTATTTATTGCTCACATTGCTGGTATGGATACTCTAGCACGTGGTCTCCGAAATGCTGCTAAGCTTATCGAGGTCAATACTTTTTCTCCGTTTCATAAATTTATAAAAATTAATATAATAATAAGTAAATATATATATATATATATATATATAAGGTAAAATTAACGCTGTTTTGAAGCAGGATGGTTCGTTGGATGAGCTTGTACGCAAGAGGTATCAGAGTTTCGACACGGAATTAGGGGCCCAAATAGAGGTTAGTTTTTATTAATTTTCTTTATAAAAAAGAAGAAACCGTTTCGTTTGATTTTTAGTGGATGACGTAATATTACATGTTTACAGGCTGGCAAGACGGATTTCGACGTGCTCGAGAAGAAGGCTATCGAATGGGGTGAACCCAAAGTTGCCTCTGCTAAGCAGGTAATTAATTATAAGAACCTTCGTTTGGTTGTCAAGATATTGAGATTAATCAAGATAAGATTATTGCGACCTTAACCGAACACTAAGTAAAATCTAATTTCGTTTAATTTTCATTGTTGCAGGAGTTGGCTGAAATGATATTCCAATCTGCACTATAGATGGTGGGGGATTTAATTCCAAGCCCCTTTTTTTCACCTCTTAAAAGTTAGAATTACTTAATGTGATGTAAATTTATTGGAGATTATGCAATATATTGTTTTTACCCGAGACTATTTATATGAAAATTACGTGTGTGTGTGTGCGCGCGTGCTCGCGCCCTGCTAAAACTTTTGTAGGGAATCGATTTTATGATTTTATTTTGATCAAGTGTAGTGCAGCATAAACCGAGTTGAAGAAATAAGTGGAATCACAACTTGCATAGGGTTCCAATGAAATTTAAGATCGAATAATAAACTACTATAAAAAGTACTTAAAAAAGAAGAATTTAAATATGAAGAAAACTAAGGGAGAAAAAATCCAATTCGATATATCGATGAAGAACGTGGAGAATCTTTTATCCAAACTTCGAGATGGATTTACCGAACAAATTGGATTTCGTACCGAATTACTGAGATTTTTGAAACAAAAATATATATATATCGAATTACTCCATCCATTACAAAATAATTGACCTTTTAGGTTGTTGTGCACACTTTAAGAAAATTAATAAATGTGTGGATTTTAGGGAAAAAAAACATATAATATGAGTAAAATATCCATGTTATTAATTATATCTCAACTAATTAAGAGTAATAACTGCTAAGGGCATAATTGAGAAAAGAATAGTTAATGCATCATTGGAATTATAAAGTGACAGATAATATGGAATAAAAAAAAATCCCAAAGTGACAGTCAATTTGGGACAGATGGGGTTATTGAAATATGTTCTCCACATTCTCCAAAAAATGAAATTTTGGAAACGAAAAATCGAACTCCAAATGTTCGGTATACCATATTGAACTAAAGTACCTCCTATTAAATAGGTCAATAAGACGAAAGGCTCAAGCCGTGATAGCTCAACAAGGTTATGAGTGCCCAACGAGGCGAGCGCTTCAGCCTAGCGGGCCTCGACAAGAAATATGTCATCATTAGTTGTCGAGCGTGTTGCGCTCGGATACTCGTCCACTCGTCCTGACGAACACAATTAATGACTGATCAATGATATATAATGCATCTGACACTAGTATTAAATGTCGAGATGTTCAGCGTAAGCCTGAAAACTGGAAACAACCCTAATGTCGTACTAACAAGCCTCACCTAAGAGCATGGCTAAGGGGCGACTAGGTAAGGTAATGATGATTGTGGGCCGGATTATCATGGGGCGTGCGGCGAGTTGACATAAACGGCAAGACGATATGCTTCTAGGCCAGTTTTTTAGGAACTCTTGGAGCCCGATGAAGGTAAATATAAGTAGGAGTCTACCCCCTACTATGGAAGGAGAGTTTATTTAATCATCAATTCACAATTTTACTTTCTTCCTAAAATAGCATACATCCTCCGACAAACACTTTTCGACACCTACTAACCTGACCGTCAGAGTGTTAACTCCAGCATCAGTCCTTCTCTCGTTTTACAGATCGGCATGAGCTCTCTGAAACTCCTTTGCAGACCTCTCAAAGGGATCCCACAACGTTAATCGTGTTCAACGAACGAATTAGGTGCAAACAAAAATATTTCGGTTTCAACATGGTTCGATTGGTTCACCGAAGTGATGAACACCCCTATTTGTTAATCTTTCATTTGAGTCAATTCCTAAAACACCCTTTAATTAGTATTTTGTTTTTAAAAAAAATAGTTTTTCAATAAGAAACAAAATATATAAAAGTATAAATATAAAAAAAAATATATATATATATATAAAAAGAGAAGGCCGTTTATTTCCGGGTCGGGTAAAACACATGTTTCGTTCTCTCTTTCCTTCACCTTTCCTCATCGTTGTTCTACAGCCTGTATAAATTCCTTATAAACTTTTTCCCATATTCCATATCAATTGATATTAAATATTCATTCCCGATTATCAAAAAATCCGTCGAGCGGCAGAAAATTCGCCACCAATTCTCGCTTATTATCAAATCACCCCAAGAATTGTACCCACCCTCTCAGGTAGATCCTCCCATTCTCCTCCGGTACTCAACTACAATCCTCCTCCTTTTTTTTTTTTTTTTTTTTTTTTTGTGCAACTATAATTACGATAATTTGCTTTCAATTCTCTGCAGGAGGAAAAAAAAAGGGGTACTTTTTTTTTTTTGTGGCTGGATCGGATCTGGGTTTTCAATTATCGTTTGATTCCCGGTTTAGTGTTGGATTCATCGTACTGAACTAGGAAAAGAGAGGGATAAAATGGGAATAGTTTTTACGCGGCTGTTTTCGTCCTTGTTCGGTAACAAGGAAGCTCGGATCCTCGTTCTGGGGCTTGACAATGCCGGAAAAACCACCATTCTCTGTATGAATTATTCCTTTCAACTCCTTTCCATTTGTGCCTGATTCACGTCTCTATATATATATAGATGTATGTATATAATTTGTGATTTTTTGTTATTGCAGATCGACTTCAGATGGGTGAAGTAGTCTCCACAATTCCAAGTAAGTATTCTCTTTCCGAATTATGTATCTATCATGATTCTATGCTCTTAATTTTATGTTAATGATGGTTAATGTGTGTCTTGACCCGATACTTTATGCTTTATCGACTTCGAAGATGGTTGATCTATGTAGAGTGGAATTCATGATGCGTAAAATTGTGTATTAGTTAACATGTCAACGTTTTTTTTTTTCTTTGCAGCAATCGGGTTCAATGTGGAAACTGTGCAATATAACAATATAAAGTTTCAAGTTTGGGATCTAGGTACATTCTTTCACGTCTAACTTGTTTTGATGTGAATATTGTGTTCGTTAACTTGAATTTTAAAGCATCTCTTTCGAATAAAATATTAGCTGAAGCTTCTCGTTTTTTTCTCTGACATGGGAGTCCATGAGTTTGCAAAAGCTTTTAGAAATAGATTATGAGTTTTTTTCTGCACGTAATCTGTTTTTATGTGTTTGCAAAACAAGCTTTTGCTTTTGCTTCTCTTAAAATAAGCTGGTTTAAGGTATAATTTTAAAAGCACCCATGTACCTGCTTTTTCTATATTAGTTGATTTTCCGCCTAATTTGCAAACACCCCCAACTTTTAGAAATAAGCACTTAATTTCAACTTAACTCATAATCACTAACTTCTGCTTTTAAATAAGCTGTTACAAACATCACCTAAATAATCTAATAAAACCCAATTGTTTTATTGGACCATGAAAGATCCAATAAAAAAGCTCCCTAAAAGGTAAGATAAGTCATGATAACATAATATTTCCGGGTCGACCCAGGAAGTTATTGGGTATACCAAACATCAGACAAAGTACAGCTATTTAGTTAATCATAGCTAATATCCCCAACCAAACGAGGCCTTATTAATGTCCGTAAAGATTGCATCGTTATTTCTAATCCAAGAAGTATTGAAATAGGTTTTACACTGCTCTTGTTTTATTATGTGAAATGTCTCATGTGGGCTTTCGGGGTAAGTTTGTTTTGGTTACGACTCGGTATATTGACCCAATCATTTTTTATTAAGTGGGGATGAATGTGAAATAGTTGCTAGCCGAGCAAATTGTGGCGCAAAATTATTTGTCAGCCTCGCTTGTGCGCGTCTGCTTATCTGCGTGATTTTTTTTTTCTTTTCATTTTTTCGTTTATTATTGCCAATGTTTTCGTTTAACATAGACATTTCATTTGCTCATGGCAGGTGGACAGACGAGTATCAGGTAACTTATTTTCTATTCTCTGTTCTTCAGAGTTTAGTGCTTATTTGTCCGATGTAACAGTTTTTTGTTGCGTTTCATATATAAGATAATGATGGACATATATTTTTTTGATGATTCTCGTTTTTCTGTCTTGTAACGCATAATGTTAACTTGTCATACTGCAGTAAGGATTGGTTGAGAATATTAATGCGGTACTATGGCATATAGAAGATGAATTTGTTAATCCAATTCAAACGGAGAAAATTAAATTTTGTTCGTAGTAGTTGTCATTTTGTTTTCTGTAGCTATCACTCACTGTATGCTTGGTTTATCTTTTTATATATGTATTTAGGCCATACTGGAGGTGCTATTTTCCAAACACGCAAGCTATAATATATGTTGTTGATTCGAGTGATACTGATAGGCTGGTTGTTGCTAAAGAAGAATTTCATGCAATATTGGAGGTACTCTTTCTTTTGTTCACTTTATCTCATCTTTCCGGGTATATAAGTTTCCTTTTCCTTCATCTTCAAAAAACACCCATCCATATAAAACGACTCCCCATATAATGTAGTAAAAGTATTAAGTAATTTAATTTTACGATTTCCTGCCAAAAAACATATCCATTACTAGAGAAGAAATAAAAACTTCCATTTTGAGGTACTGGTTAAGCTAGGAAGAAAGTAAGAAAACGGAATTCCTTTTGACTTTATCGTAAAGAATGAGTATATGTATACATTCTCCGATCTGATGCATTTTCACGAAGTTAACTCTTTTTACCGACCCTCAATGCTATGTAGTTCTCAAACTGCTTTTACTCACCCACAATGCAATGCATTGTCAATAAAAGATTATCGATAAATAAAATATGCTAAATTTTTTGACTAGTGGAGCTCGTTAGACTTTCTTCATTTTCGTAGATAGTTTTTTGCAAGATACAGACATGAATCCGTTGAAACTGTTTTTTGTGCATGGTCACTGTAGGAGAACTAGTCAACTTTAATAATTAACTAAAATTGCGCATATGCCCTCTAGCTATGATTATTCGTACATGTACAAAAGCTTGGAACTTGTTTATTCAGTACATGTTTATTTACCTTTTTGACCTTATCGAACAGAAAGCTGCTTAAGACATAATGGCCTTTTTTTTCTTCAGGAGGAAGAGCTAAAAGGTGCTGTGGTCCTCTTATTTGCGAACAAACAGGTTTGTACAATAACGGGATATTATTATTTTCTTGATTTTTTGATTTAATTTTCTTCAAAAGTAGTGCGAGGGTATTATTCGTCTACGTAGACGAACCCTGTTTTCTGAGATGGTGACTGGTTAAAACAGGATCTTCCGGGTGCACTTGATGATGCTGCAGTAACGGAGGCATTAGAGTTACACAAGATAAAGAACCGACAATGGTCTATCTTTAAAACTTCTGCTATTAAAGGAGAAGGCCTTTTCGAGGGCTTAGACTGGTAAGCACTACGAACTATTTTGCCTAATGGTGTTTGCGTAATCCGTTTCTTACATTAATCCCTCTCCATATGTCCTTAAATTTTATTCATCCCATTAAATTACGAAAAACCCCCTCATGTTTGGGTAATTACAACAACCCCTCAACTATGAATCTTCTTACATCTCCACTCTTGCGGTGTCAAATTTAGTAGAATCTTCTAGATTATGTGGAATATTCTCCAGTTTGTACCCGTTTTATCCCATTCCAGCTCCACATTTTGAAACAAAACGATCATAAGATGTGTCTCTTGGCTTGTATATATCAGATAGTTGTGCATCAGAAATTGCATTTTTGTTCGTTTATTTTTGCACAACGAGTACAAACTAGAGAACATTCCATCGAACCTAGAAGATTCTGTCGAATTTGACACTACAAGAGTGAAAGAACTTGTCATTTGTCTTTGCTGAATTAAACCTTATACCCCTAATACCCTGGTATCTCGATTTCTTGTAAAATATAATTGCAAGTAGTTATATTTAGATCATCAATTTGTTATCAGATTTTATCATTATCTTTTTTATTTATTTTTTATTTTTTTTACGTCGAATTTCGTAGCAAGTGTTGCTATATATTAATAAGGAATGTGAACATTGTTTTTTGATCCCATTATTGAACTTAATCGTCTCATTGTTGTTCTATTGCCTTACGCGCTTTGTCTGTATTTTCTATTTGGATAGGTTGAGTAATACACTTAAATCAGGCGGTGGCTAAATTTTTCGGACAAGAAATTTCACAGGCAATTTTCGTGATTTGTGTCGATACTGAACCAAGGGAAGTTTGACAATTACCGGTATTGTTTTGTACTGAGATTTCATTAGTAGATTGTCTAGCTTGCATTTTTCAAATAGTTGATATAGAATCATATTTCGAAGTTTTACAGGCACAACTAATATAGCCTAGCTCCTTCTTTTGTCGCGTCATTATTCTATTACTTTACAACGTTGTTTCGTTTCCGTTTCATTTGTAGATTACTTTTTCGTACATTTTTCTCTTTATTTTTATTGTCAACAATTTATTTTCCCGAGTGTTTGCGAATGCAGCTTTGGTTTTGCTTATCCTAAAATAAGTGGCAAATAACGGCCACCACCTGAGATATGCTCAAATTATGAAAAAACCCCTCATATTTGGGTAATTACAGACACCCTTTCAACTATGTATTGTCTTACACGTTCAACCTTTACGGTGTCAAATTTACCTTCTGAATGAGGGGATTTTTTGTAAGACAATAAATAATTATCGTCACAAGAGGGGCATTTTTATAATTTGGGCTTACATCAGGGGTGGCCGTAATTTGCTCGAAAAATAAGCTATTTCAAGTTATAGTTTTAAAAGTATATCTGCTGCAGCAAATTCTTGGAGCTTAAAGTTGTGTTGGCCATTTTTGCCTTATTTTCTTAATAAATATAGTTTATAAGGACAATTTATATATTTTACGAAAAATAAGTTGAAGATTTAAATTTATTTTGCAACCATATCAATTTGAATTTTAATTATTTAAAGTTGATTTTTCATGATATTTGCAAGCATACGTAACTTTATTTTCACTCTAGAATTTATCGAAAAATATTATCCATGTAGTAATATAATTTTATTGCAATAGAATTTCCATCTCCCTTTCAAGCTGGGAATGGACAAATTATATTTGTTACACTTGAAATATAAGCATTTCTTTGGTTTGTTTTCAAAGTATAAACAAAATTAGGGTAAATTACAACCACCCCTGAGGTATGGTCAAATTACGAAAAAAACCTTCATATTTGGATAATTATGATTACCCCTCAACTATGAATCTTCTTACACGTCCACCCTTATTCTGTCAAATTCAACATAATCTTCTAGATTACGTGGAATGTTCTCTAGTTTATATTTTTTTTTGCAAAAATGTAGTTTCTGATGCACCATAGTCTGATATTTTACTAGCCAAAACGCACATCTTATGATCATCTTGCTTCAAAATATGGAGCTCGAATGGGATAAAACAGGTACAAAATTAAGAATATTCCATATAATCTAGAAGATTCCACTAAATTTGACACCTCAAAGTTGGACGTGTATGAAGATTTATAATTGAGGCCTGAGGGGTAGTTGTAATTACCTAAACATGAATGATTTTTTCGTTATTTGACCATACCTATACCTCATGGGGTGTTGTAATTTACCCAACAAAATTACTTTGTAGAAAAAAAAAGAAGAGAAAAACTGTAAACAAAAAAAAAAAGAAAATTAAATTCTACTATTTCGATTAGGAGAAGTAGAAGTCTAAGAACGGTGCGAAACTAAAGGACAAAAAAATTCTATAATAAACAATTTAGATAATGCATGAATCGTCCAGTCAAAGTATTCATTGACATAAATGAAAACGAAGGATTTGACTGATAGAATAATTACAATATGGAAAAGTTATCGGGTAGGGGTTACGGGTAAATGGGTTTCGGGTTTTCGGGCGGTTTATTTTTTACCTGAAACTAACTCATTGGGGACGAGTAAGTTAAACCATTTTGAGATCGGTAATTTATATTTATACATGTTGGGGAGGGGTAACGGTTTTATATATTTTTCACTGATCAGATTCTCGAGTATAGGCAAACCCATCTATAATCAACCCATTGCCAACTCTGAAACACAAAGGACCACATCTCTTTGATTTATTTGCATAGATTTGTAGGCTGAACTATTCAATTCTTCTAAAGTAATTAATTACCCCCTCC